TTGCTCAAGTCAAGCCGCGCGAAAGCCATCACTGGAGTAACTTGATCCTTAATCCAGTTCCGATACTGCTCAGTGTTTAATCGATACGCGACTCTGGTAGTTTAAACAGAATATCTCTCTCGACATCAAGTTTCAGCAGCTGAAGGATCTCGTCCGGTTTGTTTCTTGAGTTAACCAGCGCTCAATCAGCTCGAATTCAAGTCGTTTGGCAAATTTAGCAGTCTCTGGAACTGACTTGGCTGTTTGAATGGCTAAGCAAGACCAACGTACTCGAAGTGAGACGCGATAGTCGAAACCACACTTGTTTGCTTCTTTGGGTTCTCCTTGTTGAAGAGCTTCATATAGCCGATCCACTTTTGCAACTACGGCTTGGCTAAAACGCTGTTGGGTGCACCGCTAAGTTTCAGTGGCACGAAAATGTCGTCGGTGGAACTGTCCTTGAGCGAAGGCTTTAGTTTTCCAGAGGATGTTTGTTGTGACTCGGCGAATGAATCCATATGGATGGAAGTAAAGAACGTCTCTTCTTTTTTTGGTCTTGGTGGAGCCTGAGGAGTTTATTGGAGTCGGCGAACGAATGACACAGTTTTTGTCCAAAGGTGGGATTTTGCTGTCGAAGTCGCCACGAAAGAGACACCACAATACCCTGAAGACGCATGGCTTCGCTTGGCTGAGACTAATACTAACTAGATATAGAGTGGTCGGGCCTGCAACACCACACTCACAACGTGAAAAAATAAGTTCTGCGCACACAAAAATATAAAGATTGCGACTATACACTGTAAACCGCAATATGTGCGAGATAGAATCTACAGGCCGTAAACTAGAATCGCCGAGCAATCATGGGATAGTGAAATAAGCAGATACATCTGGTTCAGCTCAGATAATACCTACGACAAAACAATGGTTCTTCTTGATTTAACATAGATTTTCTCTCAAGTTCAGGCGAATAATCCGTACAGCTCGGTGGTCAAACCGAATTCGCAAGTTTCTTTAGTTGAATATGATTGATCTGCTTTGTTTTCTGATTTTTTTTCCAGAGCTAAGGGGGGATTCGACTGGCGTTTTATTTTCCGAGAAAGAATGGCCAGGCTACTTGTATTGACTGCGGCAGAGTTCATTTCTCCTGGGATTACTGGTTTAGCCCAGCCCATGGATGTTTCAGTGATGAGAGTTTATGCAGAAACTACTACGTGAACTACCATGCTGTCAACGACTTTGCTCAACGTGCGTTAATTACAGAAATTGTAATTAGCGTATGGAAAGCGGTAAGGTCCAAGGTAATTGTGCTATGTTTTATTAATGCGGGCATCGTGACTTACGGGTATCGGGATGCTGAAGAAAACTTCATAGTTTACCCGCCCGAAGAGTCAGAGGAGAATAACAATAACGAAGAAGAATAAAGATTTTTAATCTTGTTTTATAATGTATATAATGACGGCATTTGTGATAGGAATCAGATCACAATGTGATGGCGTGTTGTGATTGGTCGACCAAACAGCTTCTCATTCATGAAGACACTATCTACTACACAAGTGCTAGACACGCTGCTGCTGCGTCGATTTAAGCTGGGGTGCTTTCTGCTCGGCACCAAGGCCAAATTGGAGATTCGCTGGAGGGTGTCGCCTCTCAAATGCAGGCTCCTTGTGTCTATGTGCCCTCACGAGGTTGAGCTAGAGTGGGTACAGCTAAAACACTGTCAGATGCTGTTCGAAGCATTTACTCCGTTGCTATTTTTTTTTACGATACTGACAGAGACGATTGTATAGTATGCCGCATGACGGCTCTTCGGCTCTGCCGGGCTTATTGGCATACAGATTGTTGAGCATCCTCGAGAATACTGCAGCAAACACTTCATCGGCAGTCGAGATCGGGAGATCCGCAATCCTGCTTACTCCAGTGGGCAGTACGTTGATCTCATGTGCGAGCTGCTCCAGGTACTCCATCAAAATAGTTACTCGCGAGTGTCTCATTCGACGCGCCGTACTAATATCATGTTGCTCGTTTAGGAGTCGATATGGTCGAATTTTGGAGTCGCGATCACCGAAGAACCAGAGGTTCCAAATCGCTTTGGCGTTAGCGCGTGCCGGGAATTCCCAGTTTTTTGGGACAGCATGTAGCAACTTACCGTCATTCCGTGACCACGATTGCCATTCCGGCTGCTGCTCACTGGACGTACTGCTGAGGGTAGTTGTATGAGCCAAGTTCATGTCATTCAAAATACTACGAAATTCTGTGGCCATAATAGAGCGTAAATCGCCCATTCTCGTGTCGAGATCGCGCAAGGACACGGGGGCAACTCCATTAACTACAAAATGCTGTCGAAGTTCACTAACCACTTTCACCGCGACTTGGTTTGGTAATTTTACTGCCAGTTCTGTCTTCAGACCATCTATTTCTTTGTGAAGACTGGTTACTTCTCTGCGTAGCTCATTTACCTGCTTTGCTACAGCAAGGTGGGCTGGGATTCCTGTCGCCTTCATTCCACACACAGGTGATGCGCCTATTGCAAGAACCGTTACTCCACGTAACTTATCAATCCGCGACTTGGCCGAAAACACTCGTGCCGTAAATATTGGGTGCGAGGCATTAAGTGTACGACGGAGGTAGCATTCGTGATGAATGATGGACGCCAATAAAAAAAGAAAAAGCTGCTTGAATACCTTTAGGGTAGTTGCTAAAGCCACTTACAATTTGCTTCCAGTAATCTATCGTCATCTGTGATAGCAATTCCGGCGGAATGTGGAGGTAGACGCCAAAGCGCTCAGAGTCAAATGGTAATCCTGTTATCATTCTACCGCACAATTGGTCAGCTCCCTCGCCAAAATGAATGTACCGGTCTTTCAACTTCCCGAGACTCTGGCCCATTCGGAGATAAACTGATACAGGTGTTGGCCCGTTGACTTGTCCTAATGCGTACGAACTGCTGCCTTTACGAAGGCTATGAGTACCGATGTCTTCTGGTATACAGCTCAACAAACAGAATTCTTCTTTACTTAGTGCCTTAATGACACGTCGTAAAATTCTGCCAAAACGATCTTTGTTATCGGTGCCGAGATATAATTGCTGCTTCTCACCAGCTCCACGTTCTGGACAAGCGAAAAAATGAACAGCAAGAGCAAGTACACAACACTGGGATGGCTGGTAAGTGTTTGCATACACATGCTTGCCAAACTTGTCTGCCCCTGTCTGGTCACCTTTATGCCCTTGCTCCTCCACAATTAAGCAATCCTCAGACCACTCAATGTGCTGTAACATGATTGTATCAACGGAATCAACTCTGCTCATCAAGTTCCACATCAATATGAAAAAACTCCATCCAAACAGCACCGTCCACCATGCTTGGCCTTTTTTCATTGGCTCAAGTGTCATTAACTTTAGAGCAAGAAGATCAAAGCCAGATGCCTTCAGCTCACGTTTTCCTTCGTTAATTTTCATCAACCCACGCTTCTTGAGGTTGTTGATAACTTTTTCATAACCCTCGAGAACACGACGCAATTCAGTATCAATATCAGGATCTAGTTCAGAAAGGTGCGCACGGTCAACGTCAACCAGAGCGCTACGGTACCCCCAAATGCACGACGCCGACAGAGGCGTTTTAGATGAGGCCCCAGCTTCTACGCTGTCGCGGTCACAGACGTGTGCAGGGCTAGAGATATGCCCAAAAAAGCCGAGAACCGCTGGTTTTGGGAGCGGTATGCGCATCTTCTTAGTCTTGCTGTCAATATTATCAGGATGATGAGATGCCAGCCACGTTGTCATCGTGCTTACTTTCGACAGATACGCCCGCTTCGTACTTGTTTTCGTCCTCTTTGCCTGAAGGGACTGTGCGACGGCGGCCTAGTCCTCGGCATCTCTCTTTTTACCACGATCCATTGTTCTGTGGTGTGGATGAAAGGTCGCAATGCAGTGTGATAAGCTTGCTATCACAAACGCCGTATATCTGCCGAGTTAAGTTCGCGCAATGGTAAAGACAAGTCTATTTCGTTAGATTCGCGCTAGATTTCAAGCAACTATGATGTTTCCTTGTCACAGTCGCCTGTCAAGTGATCATAGCAATATCACAAATGCGGCAGATGTGTACATTTTTAAAAAGAAAGCTGATTTAAAACTATTATAATTACCCCTTTTGTGAACGAGGAGGTGACACCCTTGCGTATTTTTGTCGTGTGCAAGATGTGGTTGTGCTGTTGCATGTTTTTCATCGTTGCGTTTTATTCGTCGCATCCGGTACTACAACAACAGACGGACAAAGCAGCATACCCAATTGTTGAAAAAAAGAGAATTATTTTTGTCGATCATACTGAATGTCTGGGGAGGTGTGAACTTTTTTTCTGTGCCCCATGACCGGGCGAAGCAATTTGCTCAAGTTATTTTTGTTGTCGACTTCGATAAAATTTGTTGTTTTTTCATTCATCGGTGGAAATTCCAAAAAAAATTGGAATAAAGAAATTTGTTGGCAACACCATATTTGCCCAAAATCTTCCAACCAGTGAAGATGCTCCAATAACATACAGTGTCTTGTTGAAGGGTGTCAACGAACCGTTGGGTATTGCAAATATTGCTGAAACAATGCAAATATACATGTGTAGTAGATGATTAATGTTGTTTATTTGTGCATGAAGTACAATTCAGATGTTGCAAAAATTGGTACAATAGTACGGCTAGTAAGCAAAGTTGGTCAACACAAAAACTAATTTCGCGTTGCTTCAAACTAGCAAACGCAGTTCAGTCGTTAAAGGAGCTCAAGCATAATTTTATGCTTAAATATATTTTAGAATATGTCCATCTTACGCACGCATTCATCAAATGTTCAGATAAGCTCTTCAGCTAGACGAAACGGAAGTTGTTGACGTAACCCTGTCAGTGTTGCTGATCGACAACACCAAAGAAATAAAACCGAAGAATTGTAAAATACTTAAATTCATCAGCCAATCAGAGTTAAAAAAACAAATCATCCATAAACAGATTTAGTTTTACAAAGGCGTTTTTTCGGCCTCTCTCTCGCTTCGCTCGGAGGCCCTCACCCCCTTGCCCCTTACGCAAAATCCACAGAAGAGAGCCAACGCGAGAGTGGCCTACGAACAGCAACGTTTGTCCACGGCGGGTCATCTCTCCTAGACCTAACCTAGTATATGAACTGTAGAAAACCTTACTTAGTATCAACCTTTTTTATAATTATACATTATAAATTATTCTAAAAGGATTGAAAGTGAATACTTACGAAGTTATTTTTTATTTTTATAAAGTACTTCCCGTTCAAGTTCGTGTTGCTAAACTATGTGGTACAACCCATTTTGCAACCCACATTGCAAATTCTCTGGATTTTATATCCAGAGTCCTATGCGGGATCCGAACGACGTACCAATACGCTCATAGTAAATACCCTGTTGAATCGAATTTGACTTTTGTAAAAATGTTCTCATAATCGCTCTACAACCATATATCCTTTAGCTATTTATAAAATCTTTGCGTGTTGACCCATCCAGGTTTATGGCTCGTTCAAGCGACAACCAGAGTGAATACTACTGTAGATATTTATATTATCTGAGATAGTAAGGTTAGGGTTCGGTCAAGCGACACATTAATATTCCGATAATTCAAGATTATTTTTTTCGATCACTTTTGGAAAATATTTCATTTGAATAGTCAAATCGACTTAAGAAGAGAGTGTCGTGGTGATGTATATATTAATATTATGTGCTACCGGGCTCATTCGAGCAGCATGCATCAATAGTTACATTGTCGGAACATTAGTATATTCGTCGATGCCGACGAGAACTTGACGATTTCAGGGAAAACCGCGTGAAATCTTGTCGATAATTTGAAGCCGTTCCAGCAAAATTTCAATCCTTTTTTTGAGTTTTTCGTGAAAAGATCGCCAAATTTTCTCTGCGGCGCCCAAACATTAGTTTAAGCAATGGACGTAATAAGCTACATATTGCTTTCTCCCTACGCTGTATGGCGATCTCGGCCCGAGCTACTAGGTCTGGAGCACATATGCCATATTTTTTGCTTGTTTCTCGATTTTGGTCGGTATTGTGGACTTTCGAATCTGCTGTTCTGAAGATGAAGCCGTTTTTGATGCACCGCTTAGCGAACAAGTCTCGTTCCCAGTGCTACATAGATGAGATGTGTGATCGTTTTTTTTTTTTTTACCATGGCAGCTACAAACGGGAAATTGTCGGTTATGAAGAGTTTAGACGAGTTGTTTCCGGGGGTCGTTATTGTTCGGGCTGCTGGAGCAGCCGCTAGAAACGGCCGTGTCCACGTCTTTCAGTGGCTTTACGATCGTCCGAGGGTATGTTGGGATCGTAACATCGTCATGCTGACAGTGAAAAGTGGAGACGTATCTACTTTTGAATGGGTTATTGCGCGCTTTCCCACACCGGATCAGAGCGCTCGTTTTGACATGCTTTATTTAGCCGCTGTCAGAGGGTACTTCTTGACAACACAGCGACTGTGGGTAATTCCAAGCCACACGGAAGAAAGCCGCTGCGAAATGGAGCGTGTCGTTGGGTCTGCACCGTTGGAATTCACTAAATTGGCTATACAGCACAGCCCGAAACCGCTCCAGATTAACATTGATATAGCCGCTACAAGGGGCGACCTGCCATATCTTCAATGGGCCCAGGCCCGTTTGTCTACTGCCTCACACTGTGTAATAGATGGACCGGGCACCTGGCTGTGGTTTGTTAGCTCCATTTTAATCGAACTGAGGGTGGGACACCTGTAGCGATCGATGCAGTGGCTGGTAACGGCCACTTGTCGACTGTGCGATGGCTGCATTATAATCGCATGGAGGTATGTACGGAGCAAGCGTTCTTTTTAGCGGCCACTCACGGCCATTTGGATGTTTTGCGCTTTCTTTACGAAAACTGGGTGGTGTATTGCCCGATCAATACGTTTGACCATGTATGCGCAATGGGACAGCTGGAGGTTGTCCAGTGGCTATTGATAAAGGGCTGGGTGGGGGTACAACAAATGCGATGGACTGGGCTGCCGCGGGCGGGCACGTTGATATTTTGGAATTGCTACAAAATAGTCGTAGTGAAGGGTGTACAACGCGAGAAATGAATGCAGCAGCCTCAAACGGCCATTTGAATGCCATACAGTGGCTTCACTTCAACCGACCTGAAGGGTGCACTACCGATGCAATGGACGACGCAGCTGGAGGAGGTCATCTCGATATAGTGCGCTGGTTATCCGATTTTCGGGAAGAAGGCTGTACAACGGAAGCAATGGATAGCGCAGCTGCGGGAGGGGGGGGGGGCATCTCGACACTATAAAGTGGCTTTACGCAAACCAAAGTGAAGGAGGATCGTCGGCTGCAATGGCCAGAGCAGCGGCTCACGGCCATTTTTATATGGCGTGGTTTGGCTTCACCAGAACCACTTCGGCGCCCTGACAACACACGGAATGGATGCTGCCGCAATCAGAGGACATCTTACGATACTGGAGTATGTGTGTGTAAACCGGCAAGTGCGCTGCAGAGATGCATTCGACTGGTGCGTTCGCCGGGGAGACTACCATATGGCCAGATGGGTAAGCGAAAATTACCGCGACACTCCCAAGCCGGCGGTTGTTGCGTACTGGGCGACTGTTCACGGCTGGACAACCGAAATTCTAAGCGCCGCTCCTTTTTCATAGTTAACCCTTTCGCGATAAAAGGGAGCAGAATGCTCCCTTTTCCTGGTTTCAACTAAGTACGACGATGTATCCATGTTAAAGGAGGCAAAATGCCTCCTTTTGATACCGACTATCCTAGATTTGTATACTATAGTTTACCAAAGTGGCTCGCGAAAGGGTTAACCGCCTCGTTGCCCCCCGTTGCGGGTCGGACGATACAGACAGGCTACAGAATGCGGTTCTAGATTGATGGAAGGAGCAATACAACATAAAAAAAACAAGAAGGTGAACCAAGTAGCTAGTAACTTTGGTCAAAAGGGATATTACCCGTCTCGTTCTTTCTGATGTATTGGAATTTAACTGCTATATTCCACCATTAATTCTAAGGGTGATAACCGCGATATGATGTTCTCAGTGCGTTTTAGAAGATTCACTGGTCATATGTACTGTACTCGTTCGTGGGTCCGTCTACAAGCCGCGCTCTATATAATTGTTGAACGGTCTCGACCCCGCTTTTGTCAGGATCCGTAAGAGAAACACGCTTACTACGCCTGGAAAACACTGAAAAAGGTTCGCCTCAGCGGTGTGCGGTTCTATAATCGTTCAACAGCCTCGTCCCCAATATTTTCAGAGAAACACGCTTGGTACACCATGAAAACACTGAATAAGGTTCGTCACGAAGGCTCCTAGTATTTGCAAAAGCTGTTCGTCGCCATAACTTGCGGGGAAATGGCGGCCTCAGCAAAGCTCGCAGAAAACATGTCAACAATGGAGCAAGCGGTAGCGGTTGATCGTGAGCGAAAACGTCGAAAGCGTTCCCAAAGTGATTTTTTTTTCGGAAGCTGTGTCTCAGTCTACTCTCGATCGGATCTACAATTAATGCACAAAACGCCTATCTAATTCGGTCACGGGCGAGGATGTGTGCTGTGTGTGCGACTGTTGGCATTCTAGCCAAGAATTGGAAGAGCGGTTGGTGGCAACATCACCTACCATTATTGGAGCAATGAAAAAGCGCCTTAGGCGACCCGAAGGGCTGCCTCCTAAGCTATACCAGTATTACGACGTTTCCCACAAGGTCCCAGGTCTGACTGGAATGTTGTTATCAGCTAAAGGTGTTATTGGAGACCACCACGACGGATTCAAATTGCAGTTATGTAAAGCGTGCTACCAGTCGTTAACGAATATGCGTCTTCACTAAGCACCTAAATTAGCGGTAGCTAACGGACTATACATTGGGTGTTTACCTGCTGCGTTTGCCGACACAACCCCCACGGAACACGCGATCCTAAATCTGGCTCAACCTACAAGAATGTTGTCTGTTCTAAGAGGGGGG